AGATGGGTCAAAAAAATCGGATTTGGGTCGGATTTGCCTGCAGTGTGAACGTAGCCAAAGTGTCACCTATGCAACTTTATTTTTACATTAAATCTTGACCTGCACGGAGCGCAGGTCCAGGGATTTACAGAACCATAGTTATTGAGTAACTTCAGTTGTTCAACAGTAAAACTGATTTTTATTGTTTGTGTGTGAAAACTCAAGCTCTGTTTAGTAATGTCCTGATGCATCTCAGTAATCCAGGTAGAAAAAAATCAAAAAGAAAAAATAAGTAGGTCCTCTGGATGGGTTCTTATTTAGTGAAACGTTTCGTCTCTCCTCCAAGAGACTTCTTCAGTCTGATGAGTTTCATGTGAACTCAGCCTTATAAGCACTGCCTCTACATGGATAAACAGGTTAGTCACCTGCAAAAGAGGGCCATTGTCTAACAATAGGCTTGATTAGCTCTATTGTTCATAGAGGGTCGTGCCCCATTACTTGACTTATTGGTTTGGATGTACCACAGCCAAAGCAGTGAGCAGTTGTCAGCACCTGTCATCCTCCAGACGCAAGTATGTCTGAGTCAGCCAATCACATTTCTTGACACTGATCAGCTGACTGATTTAAATACATCTTAACATTCATGAGGTACTTTGCATTGACTGTTTATGGTTGAGTGTGGGCGTGTAGAGTGTAGAACCTGAGGCGGGACCTTGTGCGCAAACTCTGAGGTGAAGCTGTGGTCTATAAAGGAAAGGTGCGCAGAAACATGCGTACTCATGGTTATAAATCTGAATTTTTTGGCATGCGCGATTTTCGTACGTTCACTTTTAGTATGGTTTCCACGCAATCCTTTATAAATCTGAACCCAGATCTCTGAAGGCTCAGCAAAGATCCGGAGCAGAACCCTCAGACCTCTGGTAGAGGCCCTGATTCTGAAGTGAGGTAGAAGTTTAGGACGAGTCAGGTTTTTAAATGTATTTATGTGTACATGTACCTTTTGTGAAATCGTTGAAACGTTCATTCCAAATCTCTCTGCTCTCTTCTTCAGCTGATCGATATTGACCTGAAGAAAACAAAAGCCAACATTTAAGCATCAGTCTGTCAGCTGGAGCCTCAATGATACACTGATGAGCAGCTTTTTAAACTCACAGCAGTTTTACTGTTCGCAGCAACACCTGGGAGGAAGACAAGAGGAAGAGGAGTCAGTGTTGGTCATGCAGTTAGTTACCGTCCCTGTTCTCAATGCTATGATGATCAAATACACTGTTTCTGTAGGTAAAGAACATGTTGGGATCTAGTCACACATTTTTTTAGAAATGTTTCATTTAAGGACACTAACTATTAATTTAAAAAAAATGTGCAGATAAAAGTTTTATCGTCTTGTTTTCTTGAATCAATTCATCCATATTTGTCATCTGATCATCAATTATTACATCACATGAAGATCAGGTGTGACAGTATCTTCATCCTTCATCATATCTAGCTCACATTAAATCCTCTGCAGACAAACTTTATTCCCTCTAACTGGACAAAACCACACGTGAGCTGCTCATCATGGTGCTTTTTGATCATCCTGAAACATCACAATCATCTCCTCAAACCAAAAACAGAGCACTTCATAATAAGAAGTTATGAAGCACAACAGTGTTAAATCAGTTTCTTCTGTTTTTAGATTCTCTGAGCAGAACACAGATCAGTAAAATGATACTGAACCTGGAGAGGGACTGGCGGCATCAGAGGGAAGACCAAACCTGCAGGAAACAATAAAAGAAACGATTTTAACGTGACTTCAGTGAGACGAGTGACATCTGTAAACAGCTCTGTCCAAACATCTGATCCCTGGACAGATTCTTTAAACGACACAGTTTAGACAATAAACGAGCCCAAATGAAGTAAAGAAATGAAAGATGACCTTGCTGCACGCATGGCTTTCTTGCTGTCAGCTGATGCTGGCATGTTGAAACGTTCAGCTCTCTTCTGTAGCCTCTGGTTAGGAAGAGGAGTTAGATTTTATATTTAAAAAAGAGAAGTAAAACATGAATTAATAAACAATGAGAAAGAATTGAGAGGAAGGTAACAGCCATGATGAAGAAAGGTTTTGTTTTGTTTTGTTTTACAGGAGCTGTTGGATGTCAACAGAAATAACCTGTTTATTTTAGGGCAAGAAGGTGACCAACTTTATTAATACTCATCAGGATCTCATTACARAGTTCAGGTTTTCTAAGTTAGCAACATGATGAGTAAACCATTCAGATCTCCATCTGCTCATCTCTCAAACATAAATTAAACGTATTTGATTTAAGTTTTTATGAGTACAGTGATGAAGTTTTATGTCTGTTGAGTTCAAACACATCATCCTCACTTCTCCAGTAGATAACGGAGGACTTATTTTCACCACCTTCTTCTCAGCAGGTCTGAAAGCAGAAAAAACAAATCACATCAGGTATTTCAAATACACTTTTACTGGTCTGCTTATATTTATTACTGATAGTATGCCATCAGTTGGTGGCTCTTTATAACAATGTTATTATTCACCAGTGTTGTAAAGTAACCAAGTACAAATACTTCGTTACTGTACTTAAGAAGAATTTTAATAAATGTTATTACAGAAAATCTAACTGCTCATTTTAAATAAATACTTCTACTTTTAATACTTAAGTGCAAAAAATATCAGATACTTTAAGACTTTTACACAAGTAATATTCCTAAAGGAGACTTTAACTTTTACCAAAGTAATTTTTAGTAAGATACTTGGTTTTTTGGTAAGTATCAATTTGTGGTACTTTATACAACATTGTTACTCATTGAGTAGAGTCAATAGAAACAATACAAACAATACATTTTTGTGCAGCTTCATCCTGAAGAAAGATAAAGACGTTATGTTTTCTGTCTCAGTTTTTTTAAACTAGGATTTAAAATAAAGCTGCTGAAATTGAGAATAAATAACTAATTTAAATGACTAACACTAGCTGCGTTTCCATTGACCATGAAAATGCGAAAATTAGAATTTCAAGAATAAATTTGCTGAATGGAAACATCAATTTTGAGAAAACTTATGT